CGCGCCCGGGGCCCCGTCGTCGGCGCGGGCCGCGGCGAGCGCCGCCGCGGGCCGCGCGGCCCCGGGCGCGTCGTCGCGCTCGCCGTCCGACGGCGATCCCGCGGGCCCCGGCGCGGGCGCGGCCGGCGGCGACGCGGGCGGCGTCGCCGGCGGCGCCTTGGCCGGACTGCGCTTCCGCAGGAGCTTCTTCCGGGGCACGGGCCGCAGGCCGTGCGCCTCGAGCGCTTCGAGGTCGTCGAAGAGGTCCGCGTCGAGCAGCTCCGCGCCGGACGTCGCGCCCGCGCGCGCGAGGAAGGCACCGAGCGTCGCCGCGTCGCCCGCGCGCACGCCGAGCTCCCGCGCGAGCCAGGACGCGATGTCGCCCGCCGCGGCGTCGGCGTCGCGGCGCGCCGCGCGCTTCGCCGCGAGGCGCTTCGCGGGCACGGCCTTCAAGCCGTGGGCCTCGAGCTCGCGGAGGTCGCCGAAGACGTCGCCGTCCAGCAGATCGTCGCCCCGCGTCGCGCCGAAGGCCTCCGCGCAGCGGCGGCCGAGCCGCCGCGCGTCGTCCGGCGCGCACCCGAGCTCGGCCTCGGCCCACGCCGCGACGGCCGCGCCCGCGTCGGACGGCGCCTCGGCCGCCGGCGTCGACGCCGCCGACGCCGCCGCCGCCGCGGCGGCCGCCGCGGCCCCGTCGACGCGCGCGGCGAGGTCCTCGCGCTCGCGCGTCGACGCCTCGAGCGCCTCGGCGAGGTCCCGGACGTGGGCGCCGAGCTGCTCGTTCCGCTTCTGCATCTTGACGACCTTGGGGCTCAGCTCCGCGTCCTTGCACCGGATCTCGAGCTCCGCCTTCTCGCGCTCGAGCCGCGCGACGTCCGCGGCGAGCGTCGTCGCCGCCGTCTTCGCGTCGCGCGCGTCCCGCTCCCGCTCGGCGGCCAGCAGCGTCTTCTCGCGGAGCCGCGACTCGAGGACGACGGCCTGCGTGTCGATGGACGGCCGCGGCCGCGAGCCCCAGACCGGGTTCTGCCGCCGCGCGGGGCTCGCGGGCTCCGGGGGCTCCGGGTGCCGCGCCGCCGCGGCCTCGGTGTCGCTCGGGCTGTTCGGCGGCGTCGGCGCGGCGCAGCTCGCGACCTCCTCGGCCGCGTCGCTCGGGCTGTTCGGCGGCGTCGGCGCGGCGCGGCTCGCGGCCTCCGCGGCGGCGCCGCCGTCGGAGCCGCCGCCGGAGCCGTCGGAGTCGTCGTCGGACGTGTCGCGGTCCGCGCGCGCGGCGTCCGCCGCGCGCCGGTCCTCGACGAGCGCCGCGAGGTTGCCCCGGAGCGTCGCCGCGTGGCCGTGGTCCGCGCCGAAGCGCGCCTCCACCAGCGCCAGCGACCTGTGTGGATTCCAACCACTGGTTTGGGGGGTCCCCACCAAACTTCAGAACTCTCTATCTCAGTCACATCGAAGTCGATTCGGCTGATTTTTGGACGAATCGATTGCTCTCGTCGAGTTCTCGAAGCACGGCGAAAGAGTCTGGTCCAAAGCGTTCGATTACGCGCACATTGAAGTCGGGTTGAAGGTTTGGAATCTACACAGCCAGCGACCGCCGGATCTTCGGCTCCGCGTCCGAGTGGCGGCCGCGCGCCTGGGCAGGAAAAGAGAGATTCAAGTTCGCTTAAACGTGAGTGTTCCGCGCGCGCGCGTTCCGTAAAAAGCATCCACGCTTCGAGACCGTTCCAAGAGATGATCGCTCGTCCAAAAATCAGCCGAAACGAGTGGAAAACGGCCGAGATAGGAGCCTTTGAAATTGGGAATTTCGCTCTCTTTTCCTGCCCGGCCGCGCGCCTGCAGCAAAATCGCCAGGTTGTTCAGCGGCGCGGCGACGTCGATGTGGTCCGGCCCGAAGACGCGCTCGTGGATCGTCAGGCACCGCGCGAGCCTACGAAGCACGACGGTGACGATCTCTCGTCGTTTTCCCAAACCTCTCGAAACTCGTCTCGACCGCGGGACGCCGGCGCCGACAGCGCCTCGGCCTCGTCGCCGTGGCGGCCCATGTGCTGCAGGAGCAGCGCCAGATTGTTGAGCTTCGGCGTCACCTCGAGCGAGTCGCGGCCGCGCCGCTTCTCGCAGACCGCGACGGACCGCCGGTAGACCGGCTCCGCGGCCTCGTAGAGCCCCGCGGCCCGCAGCGTCTCGCCTAAATCGTTGAGCGCGTCCTCGACGCCCGGCGCGTCCGACGAGAGCAGCACGTGCGCCAGGTTCGCGAAGAGCGTGCGCACGCGCGGGTGCCGCGGCCCGAGCGGCGCCTCGCAGCGGGCGAGCGCGCGCCGCAGCGCCGCCTCGGCGCCGGCCGCGTCGCCCGCGAGCTCCAGCGCGAGCGCGAGGTTGTTCAACGGCGCGGCGCCGTCGACGTCGCCGGGCCGGTCGCGGTCCGCGGCCGCCGCGCGCCGCTCCAGCAGCTTCGTCGCCGCGCCGTAGTCGCGCGCGTCGCGGCGGCACCGCGCGGCGTCGTTCAATACGCTGCCGACGTCCTCGTGGTCCGCGCCGAGCACGGCCTCGAACGCCGCGAGGGCCCGCTCGAAGTAGACCAGCGCCTCGGCGGCCTCGCCCTTGGCCTCGAGGAGGCGCGCGAGGCGCAGGAAGCCCAGCGTCGCGTCCGGCGACGGGCCGCCGGCGTTCCGCAGCGCGACGCCGCGCCGCGCGCAGTCCTCGGCGCCGGCGGCGTCGCCCGCGAGGCGCCGCGCGCGGCCCAAAGCGGCGAGGGCCGCGAGGGCCGACCCGTGGTCCGGCCCGAAGACGCGCTCGCGGATCACGAGGCACGCGGCGTAGCGGTCCACCGCGGCGACCTGGGCAGCACAAGAGTGATTCAAGTTCGCTTCAACGTGAGTGTTCCGCGCGCGCGCGTTACGGAAAACACATCCACGCTTCGAGACCGTTCCGAGAGATGATCGCTCGTCGAAAAATCAGCCGAAACGAGTGGAAAATGGCCGAGATCGGAGCCTTTGAAGTTGGGAATTTCGCTCTCTTGTGCTGCCCCGGCGGCGACGTAGTCGCCGACGTTCGCCAACGCGCGCGCGAGGTTCGCCAGCGGCGTCGCGCAGAGCTTGTCCCCGGCGCCGAAGGTTTCCACATAGACGTCCAGCGCGGCGCGGTACGCCTCCAGCGCGCCGTCGTCGTCGCCGCGGTCCTGGAGCAGGCCCGCCCAGTCCGTGCGGACGACGCCGCGCGCGGGCCCGCCGCACGCGTCCGCGGCGTCCAGCGCCTTGGAAAAATAGGCCCGCGCGTCGTCGAAGCGCCGCGCGGCCCGGTGGAGCAGCGCGAGGTCGTGGAGGCAGTCCAGCCGCGCTCTTTTCGCCGGGATCTCCATGCCCTCCAAGCTCGCGAGGTCCGCCTCGATGCGCCGGACGCGCTCGCCGACGTCCGCGCCGCCGTCGGAGACGCAGAGCGCGGCGCCGTAGTCCGCGGCCTCGTGGGACCAGAGGTGGCGGTCCCGGTCGCGCTGCTGGAGCGTGTCGATGCGGCTCCGCACCTTGGCGGCGTAGGCGCGCGCGCCGATGCAGTCGAGCAGGCGCGCGAAGCGGTCCAAATCCGGCGCCGACTCCGCGTAGTCCACCAACGTCCGCATGACCAGGTCGTTGAGCGTGAGCAGCTCGCCCCGGGGCACGTCGATGAGCTCGTCGACGAGGCGGTCGAGCGCCTTCTCCGCGGCGGCCGGCGCCAGCGCGCAAAAGTCGCGGAAGAACGCGTAGGTCTTCGGCGCCCCGAGCGCCGCCGCGGCGTCGCGCAGCGCTTTGTGGTGGATCTGGATTTCGCAGAGATGAACACCGCCGCCGGCGGGCACGCGCACGGTGACCAGCACGTCCCGGTAGCCGTTGAGCGCCGGCCGCCGGAACCGGTTCTTGACGGCCGCGACGTCGCAGTTCGCCGCCAATCGCCGGAAGGCGTCGAGCACCGCCGCCTCGTCGTCGCAGACGACGGACGCGCGCAACACGTCGCGTAGCCAGGACGCGCCGGGCGCGGACCGCGTCGCGTAGTCCGCCGCGGCTTTCGCCTTCGCGCGCGACCGCGGCTTCCGCGCCGCGGCCTCGAAGCCGTCGCCGCAGCGCCGCAGCGCCGCGGCGAAGGGCGCCGCGGCGGCGTCGGCGGCGGCGTAGAGCGCGTCGAGGTCCGCGGGCGACCCGTCGAGGCCGCGCTGCCGCAGGTCGCCGGGTGCCGCCGCGTAGTCGAGCGCCGCGGCGGAGCCGTCGAGCGCCGACTCGGCGACGCGGAGCAGCCCGGCGCGGCACTCGTGGAAGAGCGGCAGGTGCGCGAGCAGGGCCACGCGCTCCATTGGCGGAACGGCGCGGCGGCCCGCGGCGCCGCGCTGGCCGGTCGGGGCAGCGTGAACGGTCGGAGAGCGTTTTTGATGATGAACAGATGATGAACCTTTGGTGAAGCCGAGGCAGCCCCGATGGCTCTCGGGATTCGTCAAGCGATGCGTCTGCTCGTGTTTTCCGCCGTCGCGCTGCTCGTCTGTTCCGTCTACTCCATCGCCGACGCGACGACGGAGACGGGCTGGTTCGGCTTCGGCGGCCGCGGCGACGCGAAGGCGTCGCTCGCCGGCCGGCGCCGGCGCCGGCGGCCCGCGGCCGTCGACGGCGGCGCGCCGCCGCGCGCGGCGCGCAACGCGACCCGGCGGCGCCCGGCGAAGCCCCGGCCCGTCGTCGACTTTGGCGCCTGCGGCTGGTGCGGCGCCGTGCCCGGCGTCGACGCGCGGCCCGCGGTCGACTCGCTCGACGCGTGGGCCGGCGGCGAGCCGCCCTGCGACTGGTGCGCCGCCACGCAGCAGGAGCACGCCTACTGCCAGGGCTTCGGGGGCCGGCGCTGCGCCAACGGCGTGAACCGCTGCGCCGTCGCGCTCGGCCAGCTCCAACTGCACTGCGCGGACGCGTACGCGACGGGCGCCGTCGACGGCGACGCGTGCGCGAGCCGCTGCGCGCACGCGGCGGCGGCCGCGCCGGCGCCCTGCGCCGCCGAGTGGGTCGCGGGCCACGGCGCCGCGGCGCGCCGGGCGGCCAAGGCCTGCGGCGCGGACGCGGCGGCCTTCTTCGCCGGCGCCGCGCCGGCGCCGCTCGTCGTCTTCAATCACCTCCAGAAGACGGGCGGCTGGTCCGTCGTCGACGTCGCCCGGCGGGCCGGCGCGCGGTGCCCGCCCAAGATCGCCAACGCGGCCGTGCCCCGGGGCAAGGCGCGGCCGGGGCCCGGCGACGCGGAGACGCGCGACGGCTGCGCCGCGTATCGGCCTGCGCGGGAATCAAATCTTCAATCCGACTTCAATGTGAATGTTTGACACAAGCACCTTCCGCTGTGCTTCGAGAACACGACGAGAGCAATCGATCCGTCCAAAAATCAGCCGAATCGACTTCGATTTGACCGAGCTAGAGAATTTCAAAGTTTGGTCGGGACGTCCCAAACCAGTGGTCGATGTCCACACAGGTACCGGCCCCTGACGCCCCAGGACGAGCGGCTCCTGCGGGCCGACGCGGCGGACTTCCAGCTCGCGGCCCTCAAGGCCCACGCCAAGGTCTTCGATTTGTTGCACGTCGAGCAGCCCCTGCCGCGCGCGTGGCCCGCGCTCCTCGGGGCGCGAGGCTCGGGCGTCGCGTACGTGACGGTCGTCCGCGAGCCCGTCGCGCGCGCGCTGAGCCACTTCGCCATGGCGACGCGGCCCGTGCGCATCCCGGGCATCTACGACGGCTACCCCTTCGGGCGCGAGGTGGGCCTCGCGGAGTTCGCCGCGGCGCCCTTGGCCGACTGCCCGCTCTGCAAGCGCCGGGGCCGCGCGACGGGCCGCGAGCGGGGCTACTTCGGCGCGGGCCACAACCGGTCCGCCAACGACATGCAGGGCGGCGGCGAGTTCCGCCACTGCTGCCGCAAGCAGTGGCGCTACGCGGCGGACAACTACCTGAGCCGCGAGCTCTGCGGCTACGCGTCGCTCGCGGAGCTCGCCTTCGGCGCCGTCGGCGCGGCCCACGGCGCCGAGGCGCGGCGGCGCCTCGACGCCTTCGACGCCGTCCTGCTCACGGAGCGCCTCGACGAGGCGGCGCCCGTGCTCGCGAGCGCCGTCGGCTGGCGGCTCCCGCCGGGCGCCGCGGTCGACGCGCTCAACAAGCACGCGCCGGCGAAGCCGCCGCGCTACGACCGGGACGCGCTCGCCGCGCTCAAGCAGCGCAACGCCGTCGACCTCGCCGTC